GATGTTTCTCAGAAAAAATAAATCGTGCTGCACTCTTCGTGCTGATAGGGATGGCATTTTGAAATGAAGCAGAAAGCTGTCATAAAAGAAGCTGTTTGCCCGGAGGAGTATGTGAGTAAGTCGCCAAATATGAACTTTGTTCCGCATTTGATCAACCGCACAGTGTGGGAATAGACAGTCCCGTCAAGACCAAGTTACAATGTTTTAAAACTGATCGTGCGTTTGCAAAAAGCAAAAAACAAGAAACGAAAAAACAAAAACGCAGTCATCACAGCACTTCGATTAGATATTGACCAGCTGTTGCCGACTTGGGAGGACTGAATAATGAGACCAAGTGCTCGATTGTCCCCACTGACTGGCAGAGACATGTGCAGGAAAGGTCGGTTTAATATCCAGTATTACGCCAAGATACCCGATTTTACACACATGTTCAAGCTCAGTTCTATTGCTAATAATGCTTAGTCTGGACGGCAGCACGCCTGAGGGTCATCTTGCACGTTTTACATTTTGTAGGGTTGAGGGTCAGCCCCCATTTTGTAGGGTTGAGGGTCAGCCCCCATTTTGTAGGGTTGAGGGTCAGCCCCCATTTTGTAGGGTTGAGGGTCAGCCCCCACCCGACCGACCACGCTGCCAGATGATCGAAATCATTCTGCAGCAACAGGCCATGAACCGGTGACGTCCCTTTACGGAAAATTTTGACGTCTCCGACATACAAAAGGCAGCCAGATTCAATGACGCACGGAAGATCGTCGATGAACGGTGAAAAAGGAGAGGGAGAGAAGGGTAATTCTCCCGGGACGTCGGAGGTCACCAGTTCCCAAATGGAAGTTTTTTCCGTTGACGATAACCATCTGGCGTCTGTCGAACAGATACGAGACAAACCATTGCAGGCCGAATTCCCTTAAGTTGTATGACTGCCTCAGCTCGTAGATCAGGAGGTCATGGCTAACACGCGCCCGGGTGGCCGGTTGGATGCCCTTTGCTCGCGTGGGGGGTCAATTTGGCCACCTGAGATTTCAGGAACTAAGAGAGCTAGAGCCACCAAATTTATAGAGTGTATTGGTCCGTACCCGAACTCACTTGGGTCACAGTTTAAGATTCCTAGGTCACGCCTTTTGGGTCAAACAAGGTCAAGCAAGGTCAGTTTTCAGATAAGTCTTCAAGGGGCTCCAGAAACCAGATACCTGTTCTAAAGATAAGGCCACATGCTCATTCAAGGTAATTGACCCTGCGAACATTATGGTGGTCAACATCATACAAGACTGCTTCGAGTTTTTTATTTGAATAAGCGACAAAGATTATATTAGGCGGTATATCCTAAAGCAAAATGTTGATCTGGGTCATTTTAGGTCAGTGACCTATTCTGAGCTTTGAGAAACTCATAGAAGATGCATGATGCGGTTTCCTGTTATCATTAAATTTTAGATGAACACGAGAAGCCACCCCACCGAGCAAACTCTAGAGTAATAAAACAGGTTGGTTTTGACCTAAGTTTAACTTCCATACCTGACCCTAAGTCAATGGAACTTGTTCATTCAATTATTGTGTTGTCTAAGAAAGTATCCCAAAGATGTATGGTCTCGTCTAACACTCCGTTGTTACATCATATTGAGCGATTCCCTGGAAACTGACTGCGCAGAATCCATAGCCTGACTTTGCCTGCTGTAGGTCAGCAACCTTACGGGGTACATCTAAATTTTTAATACCAAACGATCCGCTATTCAACTATTTACAGCTATGCAAAATTTAGCGCGGCTACGCCACCGTTTGGACACCATTTTGAAAATTTTTCGTGTGGTCAGTTTTGACCCCCACCCGAGCGCGTGTTAAATCTCTGGAAAGCAGCCGAATAGTCAATGTAAATTACATCCGCCTGGTATCTGTCCGATATGGCCTGCCAAGCAGATCTCAAGTAAACACCTAAGTTAGTGTCGCACGAACGCCCAGGAATAAAACCACGCTAGTGATGGCACAACACTGGCGAGACGTAGTGGAACAGCTCATCATACACGCACCCCGTCCCAGTCTCTATCAGAAGAGAAGAAGCAGGGATACACCTCTGTAATTTGAAGCTTCAGCTACTCAATTCCGCGAAGGACCCAGCTTCAGTCCTTGCGCACAAGCCCAGCGTGAACAACGCTACAACAATCAGCAAAGTTTTGTAAGGTTTCAACCAAGGCTATCTAAGACGGGAACCGACAAAGTCTCCGTTCGCGCCGGCGAGGGCGTTAACTGTTACAGTAACAGAGCTCCACATTACACATACATGCTCAAAACACACGGAACTAGATGCCAATATGCTCAGACTGAAACAGCTGACACATCTGTGTAACTGTCATGGTGGGATGGGTCGCGTCGACTCCCCCACCCCCTCCCCCAGCCCATCAATCCGTGTTATGAGAAATAGTGAATCGTGGCGAGGGTTGAGCTCTCAGCTGGCGTTCAGACGTATGAATGGCGTACCTTGCTCACTCGTATAAGCGCCAACAATGCTGACAAACGCCAATTTAAACTGTGGGTGATATCGCCAAATAACTAGGTTCAAAATGTCAATGGCCTAACAAGAAGTTGGCGGAATCTTGGCCCTAGCCAATATTCTTTGCCCCAAAACTACACATGTCAAGCTCGCAGCATATCCGTATCAAACCGTTGTTCGGTACTCCGGACTACCAAGATTTAGGCAAAGATTGGCAGGCTACTAAAAACTTGGCCAATGCATCTCGAGCTACAAAAAGCTAAGTTGGACACACAAAACTTTGTGAGACATTAATTTCCCGGTCTCAACATTCAAAAAGCTTGGGCACAAGTCTACGAGTACATCTTTTGAGCTTAACCAAAATGATCCACTCTGATTAACCTTGAACTTCAACCTAAAATTTTCAGGCAGTTGCGCACGCCCACCTTACCTATTTAGGTTTTGAAACGCGTAGGCTTAACGTTCTTAGCCTACCAATCTTCATCCAGATCGTAAGAGTCCTGAATACGGATGTACAGAGTGACATAAAACTGCTGCTAATTTGCCAGGTATCCCAAAATTTGGGCCAGGCCGGGTCTAGCCCCAAGTTCTCGGCGTGCTGCCAGGCTTTGCTTCTAATAGGGTAAATTAAGGTAAATGCTGCCAAATTACTATGATGGATATGCATGCTAACACGAAAAACACAGCGCAATTTCAACAGCTACATGGGCTTATAGATCGGGAAGAGTGTAGGCGATTACATCCATTTTAAATTTAAGGTAAGAAACGATGTTTGAACATCATCTGAAATGATGTAATTTTTTTAAAAAAATTCTGAAGTGGGCTCCAAAATTCCGTAAGGTGGCGCCCAAATCGCCTTAATAGAAGCACCGCCACTGGGTAATTAATTTAAGCTGAGAGAGAGAAACCCAACACAATATATTTAGAAATAGCCTTT